GACCTAGAGAATCCTCTTTTATCGAAATCGCCGAAACACCTTTCCGAATCGTCTTCTGAGGCTCCAGACAAAACACAGCGAACATAAAACTTTTTGATGTGCTCATCGAGAAACCATAGGGGCATACTGCCTTGCGAGAGCACGTGATAATGAAAATCCCGAATATCGTATTTTGATCCAAGGATTGCTTCGGACTCATTGCGCATTCTCCATATCTCCAACTGGCCAATCATGTACGAAGTCGCTTGACCAGGCCAAGCTTGGTAACGAGAAATTTCTTTCCGTACGATGTCGCTGTTGTCCCACATGTATTGTCTAAATATGGTCAATGCCTCATTACGTGACATGTTCTTGTAATGTAGACCCGTGTCGATGACGAGGCGTAGTGCTCGCCAGATTTGAGATCTTATAACCCCGTAATAGCGTAGTGGCTGCTCTGCGTATAGATCTAGGAGAGAAAAGAGGCAAAGCGTCGTGTTATTAAGGAGGTATGTCGATGGATTGAAATTCCTAAGTTTACTATTAAGAGATTTACCCTTTACACCGGAAGTGATTAGCATCTGATTTCTCCTTACAGTCCTACCGCTAAATCACACATTAACATGTGCATGAGACTGCAGGAAGTGATCGCCAACCAATTAGCTCCTAACTGTTGAATAAATTCTCCTTCTCAATACGGTAGGAAATGTATAGAGAACATTAAAGAGAATATGTATTTTGATGTGAAGGCATTAAGGTTTAAATGTATGAATTATTAACTAAAAAGTAACTAAGATCTATTTATCATACTGAATCAATGATTTTCTTCAAGTAAAATTGATTGAACCTTGTATGCGGGGCCAATATCAGAATAACACTTTAGAGCACTTTTACATTGAGCGTCGTAAAACTAAAACCAAAGAAACTACAACAGCCAATCAGAAAGAGGAAAATGCCTTGAAGAACCAATGAAAACTCAATCACTGAAACCGCTTGAAGCGCGGGAAAACGCGAGTGACCAAGTCATAATTGATGTTAGTTTTGCATCCAATTAGTTAGGGGCGTGCCGCGAGTTTTCTGGACCAATCGCAGAGCGAATAAAGCAAAACAAGCGTAATCTCGGATTACTTTAGACACTCAGTTAAAAATGGCACTAACTAACGGACTTAACTAACTTCACAGACAACTGCTAACTGAAAATCGATGTTACCTGAATCGAGGCTCATGAGGGGATGTTCAGCGTAAGTCGCCCAGCCTTCCTTGTAAGCCATAATTGGACTTGGTTTTAATATACTTGGACAAGGTGCTATCCTTCAAATGATAAAATAAAGACAGAGACGAACGTTACTTGCTTTCATTGGTTACCATTTGTGATATTGTATAATGTAGCTTTAGCTTTCCGACAAAACTTTATAGTGGCAACATTTAGATGTGTAATGAAATGGTTTGACTTTTGCGCCTGTGGGTCAAACCTTGTGGGGTCATTTAAATGAAAGCTACTGGGCAGTTCTTCTGTATGATAATGTTTATTGCACAGTAAAAGGTGGTTCTGACATTGATGTGGGGAGTGACAATTCTAATGAGCAGATACTGACCTCTGACGAAGGGCTAACGCTCGAAACGTCAGGTCTGTAACTCTTAATTGGCCAATCTACGTTATCAATTCGGTTGAAAATACTTAATTACCCTGTTAGACTCTCCCACCGACGCAGCACCACAGTTTCTCTACAAATTTACCCCCTTCATTCAGTGATCGGAACTGTTTAATCTCAGCAATATAGTTCTAACTTTGAAGTCTTTTTACTGAACTCCAGTGTGTTGCCATCCGAATCTAGCGCATGAGCAGACCCTAACTGTTAGCGCTGCGAGACACGCGTTTCTCCGCCACCGGGTAGATTTGAGACGAGTCGGGGAAAGGTTCGCCAGGAATCTGGCACTAATAATGAGGTTTTATTATTAGTTCTAGACCCCTCCCGTTGCTCAAGGCCTCATATTTACCCGCGTTCGAAGAAACGCTCGTGCCGAAGCACGAATACTAAGGGCCAGCCCGTAGGCTAAACCAATTCAACCAGAAGTTTCTGATCACTCCTTTTATGTGGTGCAAGAAGATTTGAAAATTAATCCAAAGTGTGTAACCAAACCACAGATCTCTTTCATAGAGGAGGATATGATTTTCATTCTCCTATGAACGAACAGATAAGTCTTCATAGTTCCTCTCTAAAGTGAAAGGTATCTTGTTCTTGTTTAGTTGGCCAAAAGGGCCCAATTACATGCAAACAAATGATTACTAGTTAGCCTCGCCGTTTATCAGGAGAGAGGTCCATCTATTGCGCACTTACCGGGGCTGGAATATTGCCTTGTAGCCCTCGGATTGAAGATGATGGCCAGGAACTGCCTCATGTACAGCTGTAGTCCATTCCATGTACTTACACCCCATTCGATCGACGAAAAATGGCAAGTTGTACCTGGCTGTGCGTCGACAGTCACCGACGGATGGCGTATGCGTTGCCACGCCAACGTACCGGGAAAAACTAATTACCGGCTCATCAGGGCAAGTTGGTATCGTCCTTCTGTCGCCATTGAAGTAAAACAGCTTGAGCAGCTTGCCTCGCAAGAATGTCATTGTACTGCGAACAGTTTCCATCCAGTGGGACATGGCGGTATAACGCTGAGGACAATAAATTGTTGCATCTGATCAAAAAAGAATGAAAGGCAAATAAATACAAAAATGCTGTCAAGAACAATACTTTAAGAATTCATCAAACAACTTGAAAAGACTTCGATAAGGGTATTTCGACGAGTCATTACAAGTGTTTATCTTCCTATACATTATCACTGCGAATGAACAGAAAAGACGGGTGTAAATTAGCGTAGTTTAATAATAATGTTATGGAAGATCTGAATTTGATTCTGGATTTTGATAGTGCTAACCTTTATCATTTTTACACCTCTGAAATGCTTTCTCGTCCGATTCGTTTACGGGAAAAGGCTGCTTGTTGATGCAAAACGCGAAAGAGTTCAACTGGCGTTTAAATTCAGACACAGCCTCGCTTTCGTTTCTTTGACCTGTTATCTTCTTCGCTATGTCTACAGCTTGTTGGTGATACCTTGTCAGCTGTCTCCATCCAAGGTCATGCACCTCGTCTGACAGAAACAACAGAAGTCCATGTTACTAACATGGCTATACGTTTGACATGACAGAAGTTTATGACTTAAGACATTTCTGAGTAGCTCTTAATTGTAAAAAAAACAAAAAGTTTCCACTGCAGCTTGAGGTAAGCTCTATTCGTTGGAATCGGAGAAGGTTAGATTACGGTTCATTTTGAGTTCTCGATGGCTAAAACGTGTCTTAAAAATCTATCTCATAGATCATACCTTTGCTATGGTTGCTTGTCTTGTTAAAATAATGATCTTGATATGGTGAGCACCATTCACATAAAGACCAGTCAAAATCTATCGCCGGGGGGGAGGGGTCGAAAGATTTTTGGGGGGGGG